CCCCACCCCACCCCCGGTACAGTCTGGTTTTCAGGGACCTGGACCCAGTAAACTTCCAGTTTTCAGCTGATCTCCTCCGCTACATCCCACCTCCCTTGAGTCACATCCATCTCTATTTGTTTTTCCATCCTTTGTCCCCATCTTACTGCTCTGAGGCCTCCAGTAGCAACACTATAGATCTTGTCAGTCAGTCCTCTCAGTCTCTAAACCGTTCTAAACTACAGAGAATAGTGTCATTTATCTCTGCAATTTAGGATTTATTTCTATTTAAGATATCCCAATGGTGTATATATACAGTATACCGTATATCGGGGAGCTGAATAATTCTATTGAAATATATATAAATATATATATATATATAAATATATATAAACAGGGTTTTTAAAATGATTTTGTCTGTAAGTTTGTCTGTGGATGTTTATTTTTTCCAGACCAAGCTGTATCTGCTCAGTGTTGAGTTTTGATTCTGTAATTTTTATTCAATTTTATTTTTTGGATTTGTCATAGTACTTCCTTCTCTCCATTTGTGTCATGCTTTATGCAGTGTTTCCTTTTGTTGTTCAAATCAATTTGCAAGTCTACAAACTGCAGCTGTGAGGTTGGGATTGTGCTGAGAGTGTTATGTTGTCTCTGCTAGCTGGCCTTCAGATAGGATTTTTGCCCAGTACCTCCCTTAGTATGTTGAGGCATTTATTGGCGTTTTTGCTTCTTTGTGAGTTTGTGTGTGCGCGCTTCTGTTTGTGTGTGTGTATGTGTGTGTTTTTCTGTAGCGCTGTAAGGTTTGCCGCCATTTTTTTCTTTCACCAGATCATTTCTAGCTCTTCAGTTTCATCAAGTTCAAAGTCCATTTGAAAGTCAATTTAAACACACGCACACATATGCACAGACAGAGATAGTATATAAGGATACAAGTATAATCACTCTGCAAAGGGAAATGCACAGTAGACGAGCCATAAATGAGTATCTTTTTTTCTTTTTGTCTGACAGTCTTTCTGTCGACAGACATCACATCCTTTTAAAAAATTCATTATCATGATGGTGATTTTACCATTAGCAGCCATCATGGATATACAGCTCTTTACTCTTGCTGTAGATAGATAAATGGGTTTTTGAAAGTAAAACTTTACACGATCTGCATCAATTCTTGCACCCATCCTGTCACCTCCAGTGGATAAATGGTCTTATCCAGCGATAGCAATAACTACCATGACACCTTGGTCTCTTCTTTTTCATCGCAAATCTATCTTACTTTACTGTTTGTTCCTATCCTAAAACAGTTTTAGTATAGCAGAGCCCAAGCTGAAAGTCAAGGATGGTTAAGTTGTTGATTAATTATTTATTAAATGCTGGTTTTGTTGTGTTTGTCTCTGGATGAGGCGGGTTTTCTCCCGCTGGAATCTGAGGCCTGTTACGGTAATCGTGTGGTTTTTCCGTATATGCATGAGTGTACATGAGTGATGTACAGTAACGTATCTTTGAAGAAATCTGATGCTGGCTGGGTAAAGAAGGGAGGAAGTAATGGAGCTAGAGGAGTGATAACAGCAGGCACTAACCTTCTTCCTCTTGTTGATGTCTGTTTGGCCTCCTTTGTCCTCAGTTACTTTTATTATCTTCGTTTTCATCCTCTGTTTACTTTCCTCCCACAACTTTTAACTGTGTGGAAACTTTAAAGAGCAAGCAACAGATAATGCCAAATGGCCAACATAAAAATACTTCTTTATGTCACCTGCCTTTAATTAATACATTTAGATCATTAAAAAGAAGTGTCAAGAATATTTTGAATTATAAAATTTGATTTATGAATTGAGTTCTATCCATTTGAGGCCCATACCAAGACTTAAATCTTAAATTAAAGGAAATATAACAATTTTCTTTTGATTTTAAAAATCTAACAAAATTTTGATCATTACAAAAGCATGAAGCGTATCAGTCCCACTAAAGGACTTGCCATTGGCAACTATTAACAAAAACTGCATCAAGTGCAGGTTTTAATAAAACGTCTGTATCAGCCTAATATTTAAACAACTTTATTTTGTTTATTTTTTTTACATTTCAGTGGTCTGACTCTCGTAGCTATCTGACTTGTGACATGACAGAACAGAGCAATACTATTAATCAAATAAATTCTTATTATATCTTTTTCTATTTGTCGTAATTCCCCATAACCCCAAGTTGCTCATAGAGTTAGGGGGAAATGTATTTTTATGGAGCAGCATCGACACCAGTCTTCCAGGGCCTTTGTCATCAACTTGACAAAATGCAGACGTTTTCGAGAAGATTTCCGTTGGTATTCATGTGATGGAGAATTTAAATGACTTCACACACCATTTGACAGGATCGTACTAGAGTAGTGTCATTAGTCTATCCATTTATGTGTTCTGTCTTAAGCCCAAGCACAGTAGCCAATATATCCGAATTTCCTTTATTGGCCATAAGGATACTAAGGCTTAAAACAGGCATTAACAACTGCTCAGGGCATTATTGGCAAATGTTAAAGTGTAATAGTTTAGACATGCTTTGGAGAAACTTCTGAAATCTTTTTCCCACCTTTTGACACTTTTTTATGTCCTAAATCTGAATGTCAGATAAAGTTTATGAACCAATCACTGCGAGCCAGTTTCTGTTGCCTCCTCTTTAAAGAAAACACTGGTCCTGGGTGTCCAACTCTTCCACACCTCTGTGTCCATCAAGCATCTCACTCGCTGTCTGTGATGGGGCTACCAACTGAATCATGGAGATTTGTGGATGTACTGTATGTATCGACTTTGTAAATAGTAAATAAATAAATGTAGATGAACACATATATAGATCAGACTGTCCTGCCAAACCTACAGCACACCCCTTACCACTTGATCCTCTTATTCCATCGCTAAATATTCAGCATCACACAGACCACAGTGACCAAGTTGCTCTCACAGAGGTATTATTATGGGGAAATATAGAGTTATAGTGGCTGTAATTTAGTGCTGATAAGGCATTTTGAGGAATATTATCAGCCGTAGATAAATAAAAAACACATTCCTACATGTCAAAGATGATGTTGCTGCAGATTTTAGGATGCTCCAGCAAAGTGAGAGCTGAGTTGCTGTGTGGTTTGTATTTGGAGGAGAAAAAAATGAAAAGCGAAGCAAAAACCCTGTCCACTACTTTCTCTCCTCACGGTCTTCCCTCACAGGGACCACGTCTCATTGGCAGGACAGTGTATAGATATATATTTTTGTTCTGAGTGTTGTTGTACCTCTGTTGTCAGTCTCTGAACTACACTCGCGTCTCTCACTGAAAAGGAACATATAACGGCAGCTTGGATCAGTTCGGTGATCCACATAATTAGCTGATGGTGTCAGCCCTAAGTGGAGCCTCTGTGTAAGTTAGATTTTTGCCCTCCCGTCGTTAGCGATCGAGGGGAAATTATTCCACATTTAGGAGCAGCTTCAACCGGGTGCTGGAGGGTTGGAGTTCACAGCTGCACAGAAAAAAAAGCAAAGACAATTAGATGTGGTTGTTTGAAAACAGATACAGACAGTAGGTCCATTTTAAGAGCCTGAAGATACCATACAAACTTGTGAGAGAACATGGTTTAACAGAGACAATCTCATAGATATCTGTTGTTAGATTCCTCGATTTATAATCAGAATATGAAACCAAATGATTCCACAACCCCAAACTGTTTTTAAATCTTTAAATCTCTCTCTCTCTCCTCTCTTCTCTTCTTTCTCTCGCTCTCTCTCACTCTATCTATCTATCTCTTTCTCCCTCCCTCTCTCTCTCGCTCTCTCTCTCTCTTTCTCTCTTTCTCTCTCTCACTCCTGTTAACTTGTCTCCTGTTTTTCTTTCTTTTATTGTGAATTTGTGCCTTTTTGTCATCTTATCTTCCAATAACACTACTGTACATTGGAGACGTAAAG